CGAGGAATACATTTTTCCGTTACGAAAACAAAATTTTGATCGAGTTGGATGTGAAAATAGCGAGATTTATCAAAAATATTGTTAGGATGTTGAAACGTCAAACACAACATTGATATGTTTCATTTATCTAATGTCTGATTATCTATGTAATGTTTCTTCTTTTTAAGTTATCAATTTTAATTTTCGCTTCAATATGTATCAATCTGCATATGCATTCTTGAATATATTTTCCAGTTCATTCCAGAGATGCATCTCCAGAATAAAGACAACCTATTATTTTAGGTGTTACCAAAATCGAAGGGAATTTGTGTTTTTGAGTATTTCAGTATATTCTAGAGATCCATCTTCGAAATTAAGACAGCCTGGAGTGTTGTCAAAAACAAATATAATTTATATTTTAGGTGCATCTGTCATATCTAAAATCTAGAGATATTTTAAACCTTTCATGATAACAATACATAGGGTGCCTCTGACAATTTCCAAAATAAAAACCATGACTTCGAGATTGCTTTCAATTTTAAAATGTATCTAATAATAAAAACCAGCATGACTTAGAGATTGCTTTCAATTTTAAAATGTATCTAATTTATAGTTTTGTTTAGTGTTATTTTCCAAAAGTGGCTCATGCCTATTTATGTCCAAAAAACCATAACTATTTAAGTGTAATATTGCTGCCTTATTATAATTAATGAAAATACTGAAGTATTGTTTTATACATTTTTCCATTTCAACCTAGATCTACGATTTTAGCTTTAGCAATAATCTATCACAAAGCCTTCTAGTTGTTTCATTTGAATGTCCTCCTCATGCTGATAATATTACTCTAGTTTCAACCATAGTGTAGCAGTAAACTTCTCCAGAAGATTTATAAGATCACATCTGACATCTGTAGATGAATGTGGTGGTTCATAGCTTTACCGCATTGTGTTGTTTCTCCTTCTGTCAATGACAAGGGCATATTGTAACAAACAAGGAATCATCCAAATCCTAATCACAGTCCACCAACAAAATGCGTTGCTCAAATATAGTTGCCATTATATTCGAGCAAGCCAAACAAACCAGGAGCTCTGATACAATTTTGGTAGAAAAATGCACAATATAGATTCAATAGGGAAAAATCCTTGCAAAAAGAATCATGAACGAAGGAGAAGCAAATTCAATATGATAAAAAAAATTCTACTTGGGAGATGATAAGAAATGAAGAATGATCAGCTACTACAAGCACCTTGGATGCAGAAATATCTTATTTAGTACAATTCATTTTAAATTATGATACATTTCCATATTAGCAATAAATAACTATAGAGTGAAGGTTTACAACAACAAAACTCTTCTATAAGAAAAAATTGAAGAGACTGCCTGTTGCACAATCCACTTAAATCAGAACCATCTCTAATGACTTTTGCAAGAGAAGTGGCTGGCTGGCAAGCACTTTGAAGCTAAGAAGTAGCCAGCGGAAATTGGACAAGGCAGTGTTTCTTATTCAATAAGACGTAGTCAATGAATTCTAAGAGTTCCAAAGAAATCTTGGAAGGGTTAGGGAATCATTGTGCACGAATAGTCCATCCCCGCTGAGCAAGGGCAGCGGTCACTTGAGTAGCAGCTTCTGCTGTGTCATTCAGTGGAGGATAACACCAGCTTTCACTTATCTGTATTTTCATAACACAGATTAGCAAAAGGCAACATTAGTTGGTGCATTTTCCTTGAACGGTAAAATAAGAGAAAAAGCGTCATGGTTTGTTCATTCTGTGGTTAAAGCATTCTGAATTAAAAGATTGATATCAATTTAAAGAAACAAAAAACACAGAACATTCCAGAACAGCTGGCAACTCACATTTTCCATCCCAGTGAACGGCCGAGCAACTCCTTGCTTCTGCAAAGAGTTTTGGAAGTCAGCAAACTTCCACGTACACAGTTCTGCTCCAATTACATACACAGGCTTCCTGTAGTAAAAGATACGAAGTCAAGGCACTGATAATTTCATTTTAAGTAGTAATTTAATAACAGGAACTTATTTTTTTTTCATTTTGACTTTTAACTTTTCTTGAGATGCATGCTGACCATCATTGATCGTACATACCCAGTACTGCAGGCCTCACTCAACATACTAACTGAATCAGCTGTGATAACAAAGGCGTCAGCCCAGGCCAGATGTCCCATATGTGGATTTGGACCTGAATGTAATGAAAATAACTAGAGTAAGTAATCTCCAGTACCAGAACAGGCAAGTCTGAATTTCCTCTCTTATGATTTAAGAATATGATCACTAAGTACCTTCACCATCCCATATTTGGACCTTAGGATTTGTGGAAAATTCTTTGATCAAAATTTTGGAGATCTGCAATGAATGGAAAATTGAATTATTATCAGATCATTATTGAATTGATGCCCCTATATCCCACTAGATAACATCATTTATAGACACTCAAGACCGTATCAGATTTCAGTGTTTCAGACAAATCACCAACCATGAGCATGCTCATGGTAAATGCCAAAACATATAATAAGATAACTGCATCCAACCTATGGACTGAAAAGGCAAAAAGAATCTTACAAATTGCACGATATACCTTCTCAGGAGTTCTTCTAGAGAAAGATATTCTGATTGTCCCACAGCTCCATAGAACATTCTGAAGCATAACCACTAAATTCTTTGCAAGATCCACACCATAGGGACAATTGCCTAACCGGGAAAAAAGATTTAACATCAAGACGGAAGGTATAGTACAAGGCGTCACTAATGTATGGTTATATTTCACCAATGTTAACGCGCAAAAATAATGTTCAAAGAAGAAAATATATAGCATATAAATATTTGAAAATTTTAATGTTCAACTAAGCTTATTTAAGGTTTCAAATAAATGTGTTACTTATGCGAAATTGATCTACTTAGCTTTGATAAATACTCAACTATGCCCTGCAATACAGAGTACATAGGGAATGCAATTCCTTTCCTGCAATTAAAGCATAGGCTATAGAGTCATTTAAAGAAGTCTCCAATTTGAAAGGGGTCATCAAACTAGAGAGAAGAAAAGAGAAATTCTTATCACAAACAAATTAAATATGACCGACGAGATTTTCCTACAGACATTGACAGCAAACTTAATTAAAAAAACCAACACTAGGAGACTTATGGGTCTAACATAATGCGCATTTTCACCTTTTTAAGACAAAGGTTGTGCAATCATCAGGTGCACGAGCATGATGCTTAAGCTAATACCGACTTTCAACATATATCAAACTACACAAATCTTAATGAACATTATAAAATTTCACAAAGTACAATAGGAAAAGCACTACAAATCACTTAATGGAAACTAAAATACCTGTAGGTCCTCCGATGTTAACCACGAGCAAGGGTTTTGGCAAAGTAGCTAATTCATGATGCCAAGCAGATGCAGCAACCCTAAGAGCAGCCGAATCAGCTTGATGAAGTGCTCCCACAGTAAGAACCTGCAATCATGTAAAATCAGCTACCTTCAAGAGAGGACAAAAAGTAGAACATCTCAGTTTAATATACGACAACCAAACTAAGTTAAACCAATAGCCACCCACACAACTGTAGTACCTACCACGTTGCGGCCAGGAGGTTCCCATGGAGTGACCCATCTCCGAAGAAACCAAGGTAATTGCTGTTGGGCATGAGGAGTAAGGGGATAATAATCATGGCGAGGAGTAATCACAAGATCAAACCTATTAAGGAGGAATCTTGGATGTTGTATCTGAATTTAGCATGAAAAAGAGTTAGACAGCAACATACATAATGTATGCCACTATACCTTCATTTATTATACATAATCCGTGCACATATGGAATTGAAAAGGACAAATTAAAAAACATGCACCAGAAAAATAGACAATTTCATGTTAAATTAACACGGAAAAAAGCAGGAAAGTACCCTACAAGTGAGTCATTATGAATTCATGAATAAAAAGCTTATGAATCTCTGATCACATTTTCTTAAATGCAAACAACCCCAATAGTAGCATTTAATAGTTTTTTAAAATGAAAATCTCTGATCACATTTTCTTAAGCACTCTAATGGTAGTGAATTCATAAATTAAACTAATGTCCATGCTTCAATTCCAAGAAAACAAAAAGAAAGATCAAAGTGCAATGTTCAACCTGAACAAGAAAAACATTTTCCGAAGCTAACCGTTTAATGGAAGTGGCAACAGAAATGGTGTCTCGTCCAGAAGCCACCACCAACAAAGGACCATCTCTAAGGATTAAAAAACAGATTACGTAATTCATAAAAAAAAAAACCATTCTTTCTTAAACCAATGTAGATTGAAATACAACAAAAAAAAGCAAACACAACATACTTGTAAAACGTTTCACGCGCCATTAGCGCAATGCTATGCGCATCAGCTTCTAATACATTAGATATACCTGAAAAGTGAACAAAAGTAGCATTATAAAAAGTCAAAGTTAAAAGAGAAGAATTGTTACCTACCATTACCAATGTTGGAATTCAATGATTGAAACCGTGAATTGCCACAGATTCTTCTCACAACGGAGTCTAGTTTTTTATGAATTGAAACCGGAAGCCATTTGAACCACCTATTGATTCCTCCTTGTGGCCTCGTCACACGCTGAAACCAAACCACATAATCAATTATTGAATCAAATTGTTATAATGCGAAAAAAACAAGAAGAAAACAAAGACTTACGTATAAAGAGAAACGATTGGAAAGACCGAGAGCACGAACCAATCCAATGCTCTGATTCTCAGCGCCGGCGAAGCCGTTTCCGATCACAACCACTCGTCGAATTGCACCGTCCAACATCTCCGACATCGCTCGTTTTTTCCATTCCATTCAAATCTGAAACAAAAAAATAGAGGCAGGTTCAGTTTCCAGACCCGGCTCGAACCGGTCTGGTCCGGTTCAACGTAAATATTTGATTTTCTATTTATATATCTATATCTATATATTTGTTTTCAAATTCTAGTGTTTGAAAGAAAGAGGTAAAAATTTGTTGGGTGTTGTTAGAGGAAGATGTGGGCGAGTGCAGAAGGTGGTGCTCCAGAGGTTACTCTGGAAACTTCCATGGGTTCCTTCACCATCGAGGTATTTTCTTTTTAGGTTTAGGGTTTAGGGTTTTCTCACTAAAATTAGGGTTTTAACTTTTTTTTTTTGTTTGTTTGTTTTGGTTTTTAGCTTTACTACAAGCATGCACCTAGAACTTGCAGGAATTTCATTGAACTCTCTCGTAGAGGTTACTACGACAATGTTAAATTCCATAGAATCATCAAGGATTTTATTGTACAAGGTGGGGATCCTACTGGGACTGGAAGAGGAGGAGAATCTATATATGGGTATGCTTCAACTCATCATCATCGTCATCGTCGTCTTTATTATGTTGATTATGTTTGTAATGGAGTTATTATATTAGGTTTTTTGGGTCATTTGATGTAATGTTGTTTATGACAGTGCGAAATTTGAAGATGAGATTAAACAAGAGTTGAAGCATACTGGAGCTGGAATTTTGTCAATGGCTAATGCTGGTCCTAATACTAATGGAAGTCAATTCTTTATCACTCTCGCACCGTGCCCTTCTCTGGATGGTAATGTTATTTGCCTCTTCTTTGGAAATTTATTAATATTTGTAGAAGCAAAGATTTTTTTTGCAACACTTGTCATACTAGTGTCATAGAGTATCAAACACCGATTCTAAATGCTCTTGCTTTAAATGGGCTCCTGCTAGTGGACGGTGGGATTGATTCCCTTGGATTAGTCGGTCTCATGCCTGGATACCGAGTTTAACAAAAAAGAAAACACTAATTCGAAAAGTGTTGAAGCTAGGGAAAACTATTCTTTGAGTTATTTGATTTGTGTCGTACCAGTATCAGAAACCACAACATGCCTAACTCTAGTGTTGTCTGAAGTTCGCTGGTTGTGTTTATTCTGAGTGTTGGACACTATGACATGTCTAACTTTAGTGGTGTCTGTGGTTCATAGGTTGTGTATATTCGGAGTGTCGGACACTAATCCAAGGAGTGTTGAAGTTAAGGACAATTATTTTAGAGACACTCGTCTTAGTTATCCGATGTATGTCGTATGAGAATCATACAAGTGTTGGATACTGACACATGTTGGACACTGCGCCACACCTATCTCTAGTGGTGTCCGTGGTTCATAAATTGTGTCTATTCTATGATTCATTTGTCAAAATGACTATTAGACAGCTTCATGTTATATTTCTTATATTTTCTCCTTTTTGGGGTAGATAACGTGGCATTTAGTGCATTTTATTATCATCCAACTGCGATTTTCTTCTTCTTGCTATAGTTTCCCTGACTAAATTTGTTAAAGTATACTTAAAATAAGGGACTCTCTTTTAAAAGCTGTTTGTGAGTTCTCTAATATAATCTGAGTTCGGGGTAACTATAAACTGACAGTTATTACTTGTATTTGAGTAAGGATTAGCAAGTTTAGCTTAGTTGTAGCTCTAGTCTCAAGACTAACAACTGTCAGCTTGAGTGTAATCAAAACCTGATGTAAGTAACAGTTGCATTTGATTGTAACCAACTTATTACATAATCAAAAGTTAGTTACAACTTGAAATGGAAACCCTAACTAAGTCTTCTCTCTAATCTAACAACTTGCAACAAACTGCTAGAGTAGACTCAAGTGATTTTTAGCTATAACCTTGGCATCATGGCGGTTAGATGATTGAGTTTGGTTGGTTAGTTTATGATTCATCATTCTAGTTTATGAAATTAATAACCAATTTCTGTTTCTGTTTCAACCAGGAAAACATACAATATTTGGAAGAATAAGTCGGGGAATGGAAATCATCAAAAGACTTGGCAGTGTTCAAACAGATAACAATGACAGGTATGTTGAATATCTTTCTATATAAACCAATTACAGATACTATAATTAAACCAATGATCTTGCTTCGAACAGTATAATGACAATTCGTGATATTGGGGAATGGGGATCATAAAATTGCTGGTATTGGGTTTATGATACTGATATGAAAATGTTGGTCATCTGAGGAAATGCTTTATATATTAGGTCTGGTTGTTTTATCTTTAAATATACAAACGGGCTCATTGTCTCATGCACTGTTGCAATTTGTTTTCGTGATTTTTCTGTAAATATTCGATTTCAAGGGATGTTTTCGGCAAATGAATGCCTATCAAGGTCTAAATTTAAAACATATAAGGTCGCCTAATAGATGGGAATTGTATCCAAAAAAAATTAATTACAATGAATAAGTTTTTTACTTATAAAATGAGTTTGGTGCAAACATCAATAATTACTCACAAAATTGTGTGATAGATGCTACAACACCCATTCTATCTAAGTTTGTACAAATGTTCTGTATAATGAACTTTTTTTTTATCTTGCTTTATGATCTTGAAAAAAATTATTGACATTTCTTCATTTTCCACTTATTCAGGCCCATTCATGATGTGAAGATACTCCGGACGTCAGTCAAGGATTGAGATGAATTGTGCGATATGATGTGAAGAAATCAAAGTTTTATTATCAATCCTTGATATAGCAATGGCAGGAAAAATGTCTTGGCATATTTGGCTTCATGATTAAGCATAAGAATTGTATTTTTTGGCATCAGTTTGGCCACAAAAACAAGACCATGTTTATGACTTATCGTATTGAGACCGTGCTTCCAAGTTCTAGAGATATTTGGGTCTTTTAGTTTCTGTTTGTTAGACTATAGGCTGATTCTTTCATGAAAGACTAACATAGGTGTTGTATTATGTACAACCTTTGTTTTGAATTGAATCATGCACCTCCTTTGATCTAATGGTACAGGCTTTACGCTTAATCGAAATCCAATCGATGCTCTGATGGCCGAATCAATATGTCAATCATCGAACCACATTAGCCAATCAGTAATCAGAACCACATTTTGATGAATCAGACAACTGACCTTTCGAACCAACTATTGCCAACCCGTCAAAAGGAACCTATCATCATCAAACACATTCCAAACCCATTTCCTTAGTTCAATTTCTTTTATAGGTAATGTTGATATGTATTCTAAGGCCATTATTTAAATAAGGTAATGTTGAAAGTTTTGACTTTTATTGAAGTAGAGATTCTAAAATTGTGTTGAAGAAAGTTTTGATTTTTATTAAAATATTGAGCAGTGACTATGATTGATTGTTGACAAAGGGTGATAATATTTGGTGTTGATTTGAAGGGGAAGGAATGAGAATGTTTGGAGTTTTTGGTATTATGTAGGTAGGATCGTAATGAACCGAATGATTAATGTAATGAGAAGGCTGGTGTTTTTATACAAAGTGTCCTCATCTTCTCTGCAATTTTTGCGGAAGGGTATACGGATGGTTTAAAATTGAGACAAATTCAAACCAATAGGTAGATGAACTCTTGTGATTATGAGAGTATCAATAATTGAATAGTTTGATTCGCTTGTGGATGAAATATGCATAAACTCAGTAATTCTAAGATTTTAATAATGATTGATCTTATAATTTGGTTTTAAAAATTGTGTGTTGATTTTTGAGATTTGATTGTTTGTGTTGTTACGAAAAAATGGTGACGATTTGCTGTATTAGAGGTGGATATGTTAGTGGTCCATATATGACAGTGATTACTTTGAAGTTTTATGAGCTGGATATGTTGGTTTTTGGGGATTATTCCATTAGAAAACCACTAGATGTTTGGCTTAAGGATATGCCTACAGTGGCTTAATGGTTTTGGGAGGATTTGTTAATTATTGTGATAGTAATTAGTGTTTTTTACAAATCATTAATAATTTACGAAGATTTTAATCTCCGAAAACAAAATCTCTCTAGTTTAAATAAAATATTAATTTTTTTAATAAATATTGACTCAATTTTTTAACAAACGCCTAATTGTCATGCTACATAAGTAGAAACTAACGTTTTTATAGAAAAAACTATCGGCGTGACCATTTCAATAACATTATGGCTTTTAAGAATTGATCTTACTAATTGATTAGGATCTGAAAGTGGCCTGAAGGTTGATAACGTCTGTTTGACTGAAAATATGAGGAGACGAGGGGGTGTACCTGCAAGGCACTCCAATGTTAAAGTCAATAAGAGGACAAAGAGATACAAGAAAGAGACTATGATTTTTAGAGTGAATATTTGATACCTAACTCTCACAAGTGTGAGAATTTATATAATGCCTCCGACGCGTAGCCATTGATCCCTATTTTTGGGCCGGGATATTTGGGTTCGTAAAAATAGGTAACTGTCGGGACTTTGTCAAAATGGACAGTCGTGCTCATAAGTAGCAGTTGCATCGAGTACAGAAGGGATTACAGACAGAAGCGTTTATGAGCATTTCCTAGGTGTCTGCTCTACGTGTGTCGAGCAGATGGAAGACAGTTGTCCACAAGAGCAGGAGTGAGTCTCGGGCACCGAAGGTCTTACTGCTTGATAAGTGAAAATTGTAGCTATTTTTGTATATACTTTTTGTTGCACTTATCGACTCTTTGTTATTAAATATCGTGGAATAAACACGACTTTTGTGTAAATACGTTTAGTTTGTGTTTATTTGTGTTTTTGTGTATATAATGTACCGTTTGATATTTTTCCATTCAATATGTAAGTATTTGTTGCATTTTGGAGTATTGAGAAATAAGGTGTCTAAGGCACGACTCTAGATTCGCGTTTTTGGAATAAAATGCCCAATTTTGAGAGGTTCTGCACAGGGGACCGTGCTAAGTGCGTCCTCTAGCGCGCTACGTGCAATTTTGACGGATTAGAAGTAATTTTTTGAGCCCGCTTAGCGCGTAAGTTCCGCTAAGTGCGGTTTAGAACAGTTTAGTGTGTTAAATAAACGCAACCCACTTAGCGCGGTGAGCCCGCTAAGTGCGGTCTGCTGAGATCAGTTTTGTATAAATAGTTTAGAAACAAATTTTTTAGATTTTTATCATCTCTTTCCCTCTTGGAGGAGATCTGATCCAATTCTTTGTAGCTTAGAGGTTCAAGCAACATCATTGGGTGGTTCATCATGTCGATTTGCTATGGGTGGTCTCGGATCGTATTGACATTGCGAGAAGTTTCCTATTCATCTCATTCTTCCATATTCATCATTCCTATGATGGGTGTTGTGTGTATATCTTTACTCTTATTGTATGTACATTTATTGATCATGGGATTGTATGAAATCTCTTTTACAAATTAATACTGGTGTTTATTCTTGATTTTTGCTTAATCGTGGAGTTTTAGTTTGTTGTAGACATATGCTTTCTGAATCTGTTTCTTGAATGAATATCTATTAGATCCTAGACTCTAGATATAAATTTAGGCTTAATATTCATGTGGGTATCGATTATGAAATGTATATGGGTTATTTGAGTCAGTTGGGAGATCGTCGACGAGAGAAATACAGGTGATGTCTCACTTTGCGTTAGAGATACCCTTAGTGTGAGCGATATGTGATGGTATTAACAAGTGATTTAGGTTGCATGCAATTGATCAACAAGTTTAAGTATTTGACGGGTAAAGTGAAATGTGATTTCAGAATGAATTCTCTTAGGATGCATATGATTGTTTACCGCTTTCTTTACTGCTTTATTTATTTTTTCTGTACTTTTTCCGCAAACCCCTTTTCTAAACTTAGAAGGATTGAAACCGTTGAATGATAGTTTTTCTCTCTCACCAATCTCTATGGACACTATACGATATAACCTATATCACCCGATAAATCAATAACTTACTTTTTGCTTGACGCTTTACCGCAACTAGCAAAATAGCGCCTTTATCGGGGATTGTTGTTGATATTAACTACATCGCGATAGTTTTGCTTTCTAAGTTTCGTAAATATGTTTATAATGTGTATTTGTACATTTTCTCTATACTTGTTTATTTTGTATATTTACGTGATTTATACATTTATATATAGTATACTTGTTTTGTTTCACGTTTGTCAAAGTATGGTTAAATGTGTAGTTTCAGTTAGAGCTTGAAGAGATTTCAGCGAAAGCGGGAGTGAAGCGTTTGGCTCGTCCGAAGCAACATGTTATTTTGTAAATATCAGCCTTCGAGCTTACGACGTAAAATAAGCATGTTTTATCGTTTTTTGCTTCGTTGTTACTTTTTCATTTCTAGCTTAGGTAGTGTGGTGAATATTCATTAAACAAGTTGTACTCAGATTGTTCGTAAATTCTCAAATTTTCACTTTACAACTTGTTTAATCAATTTTCACCCATTCTTTTAGTATGTTTCTATTAGCTATTTTATGTTGTTATTGTAATTTTCCACAAGCTTGTCGTGTTTAGTTTGTGGAAGTGTGTTTGTGTTGTAAATGATGTTTAGATGTGTAAATGAAGATTGCGTAGGTGTAAGTCGAGCTTGCATAATAGCTACACCATTTGTCCTATTTTTTTACAACTGGTGTAGCGCGCTTAGCGCGCTCTGTGTTGCGCCAGTAAATTCTTTTTAATTTCACTTGGCCCTTCATTTTCCCACTTTCACCGAGGCCTTATAGTAGTAATTAACATTACTATTACTTTTCTAATTCTTTTGTTATTGTTTGGACTCTAATTTTGGTTCGGTAGCTTGAGGATATTGAGGTGATTTGTCAAGTTTGATCATTTCGACTTGTGAATGCATGATAATGATTTTGTAAAGTCTTGTACACATTCGAGGTATGTGTTTATCGCTTTCTATACTTTATCATATTCATGATACTTAGACTTTTTACCATTTTTATGCCATTTATTCTTTTGTATACTTGTTCATTTGTGAATCACTTTAGTTCATATCCTTTTTGTGAGGTAGCTTTCCATTGTTCACATATGCTGGAGACCATAACTCTTGTTTTAGCTGGATTTTATTATGCTTAATCTTTTGTTTGTGTTGATTGTATGAAAGCATGAAAGGGATCAAGGCACTTTGTTTCATTTTAAGCACAACTTCCTAGCTAAATAGTCAATTCACTTTGTGAGTGTATGAACTTTTGTAACCCTTTTTAGCTTTTTGTCGATGTCCATGTTGTTTTTTCTAAATGCTTGTCTATGAGTGTTTAGTTCATTTTTTTGTATGGACATTGATTCTTTATTTTCTTGAACCCTTAACTATAATTTATGGTTTAAATTTTTACCTTGTTTTAGAAAGTATGGAGTATTCACTTTAATGTTGGTTGAATTCAAGTTGGGGAGAGATTTGTTTTCTCACTTATATTGTTGATTTCTATGAGATTGTGAAGGAGAAAAAGAAAAAATAAAAAAAAAAAAAGAGAAAAAGAAAAGAAAAAAATGTGAAAAGAAAAAGAAAGAAAAAAGAGGAAAAAAGTCTTGAAAAACAAATACAAAAAGAGTAGAATAATGTCGTGTTAAATAATTATTGTGATTGGTGTGAAATTTCGGAGATGAAGAATAAGTTTGATTGAGATTTTATTACTTAAAACTTTGTGAGTTGATCACTCCTTTAGGTTTATGCAAGTTTTTGTTTCGATTAGCTTTGGGATTTATCACTTGTTTGTT